ACTTTCATTTTCAAAGAATTAGTGAGCTTTTTCTCTTCCTTTGAAGAGGAGGGTGTGGAGGAGGTGGAAGGTGCATGCATACTGCCTGGAGGAAAATCAAAGCTTTCAGAAGAACTACACTCAGAGTTAGAGGACTTCAGGTCATCTGAGCTATCAATGCTACACACTGAAGCACTGGACGAGTCCGATGTCTTTTGATTTAGGGTCATGTAAACAGAGATAGTGCTTCTGCTGCCCTTTTTGCCCAGTGTCTGTGGTTCATCCTGCTCACCAGGCACAAGCACTCCATCTGTGTCCTGAACCTCACTGCTGGCCTCTTCAGGACCTGCTGAGGGACCCTGATTTTCGGAAGGGGCCTCACCTGCTGCGCGGGTAGAGGTGCAACGAGACTGGGGCTTGGGTGCCATCTTGCCACTCCGAATTTTCTCAAGTCCTGTCTTCAGAGAAGAGTCATTTTCTTCATTCCTGTACCTTTGTGGTTTTAAACGAACCCGGGGTGGAAGGGAACCTGAGCTAGGATTCTGATAGCGACGTGTAAAATGGACTTTCGAATGTGCATTTTTGGACGTAGAGGTTTCACTTTGCTTCTTTTGTGCCTTTTCTTTGGCAATTTTCAACACTTCCCGAGCTTTTGCATGATCCATGTTCTTACTCTGGAGCACTTTCTTCGTACTTAGCTGAGCTTTTGATGTATTTGCCTGAGCAGCAACTTTGACTACTCTGCCTCTGCTGTGAGCAATATTTGAGACCTTAACCACAGCATTTCTTTTCTGGCTTTCATTTTGGTTTTTCCCATCCACTTTATGCTCAGTTTTCAGTTTCTTGTTCACAGTAGTTACACTTTCATTTCTCCGTTTTTTATCTTCATACTTAAAAGAGTCACTTGCACTACTACCTTTCCTAATTTCCTTTTTTTCAGCAACAACACTGTTTTTACATTTGTCACATAGGACTTGCCTGGATCGTAGTTTAATAGCATTCATTATTGAAGTAGGTTCTTCCCTGTACATTTTTCGTTTGGGTCGCTTAATTTTCCGAGGAGGCGGCTGAGGTATTGATTGGTTATATGTGTCCCTGATAAACAAAGGGGGAGGATAAGGTGCTCCTTCATGGAAGAGAGGTGGTGGTTTGGAAGTCCACAGGCTTTCAGCCA